GTCCAAAAGAGGGGCTCAAATTCATACTAACCAGCTGGAAAAGGGAGCAAACCATGGAGCCTCACACAACATTTAGTGTTGTGGACAACTTGCATTGGAACTCTCATATCCTTTGATCCAGGACCCCAAATGACGCACAATTTGCTTTTTTTCTGAAAGTAGAGTTCATATGTTGTCCATTTTGGCCTTCCACACATGCTAGATACTCATATATTCATGCGACATGATGCAACAAGTTATGGAAAGAATTATGGAACTGTGTGTGCAATAGTAGATGGTTGAGATGTCTTGCTATTCATACCTGAAGTGTCACCAAAACATGCTTACATCAAAGGTGAAACTTGCTTTCTTCAGAATTATTGCAAGGGTTGCAGAACTTGTTTTGTCATGAGCTGAAAGTTGATGCTTATCCTCAACATTGTACCTGAGCAAAGCCAGCACACAAGATTTAGGTAGTATACAGTTCTCATGAATATTTGAATTATGATCAGCTAGGAGCGCATTGTAACCGAGATTTATCATGCGAAGATGACAAACAAGGTGAACTGGGGACGTCCTCATCATTATATCTGTCTCGTCATAGACAATAACTCCCATATCACCACTATGCTAGGCCTGCATTGCCAAGGCACCACACGTCTGGTGAGTTCCTATTGCAAGAACACAATTGGTAAGCACTATATATATGTATATATTAAATTTAAAAATAATACATGAATAAGTTGATAGATAATGAGGTAATATCACTGGTGGTGCCTAAACTTGCCCTGGATGTTCAGTTTGGTGCCTCAACTTGTAAAATACACGTAATGAGTGCTAAAACTTGGCAATTTGGTTCAAATACGGTGCCAAACACGTTTGTCTACGGATTTGCTGCTGACTGGGCTTGACAACGTGGCGTGGGGCGTGTGCCGCTGGAGAGGCGTGTGCCCATGCCGCCGCTGGCCTTTTTCCAAAATAACCCTTGGACTAATGTTTCTCGCTTAGAAAAGCTCCTGGCTCGGCGGGATAGGGCAGCCCGCACAACTTTTTCCATATCACCTCATGTTTCGTTGCATCTGGCAAATCGGTACATGCCTGTTTGTCTGCCTCGAGCGCTCCTCCTCCTCTGTCTCTCCCTTCTGATCGTGCGAAGGCGCCGCCCCCGTGGATCGTGGCGATCGCATTGATCGCCGCCGGCGAGGATGTCGGAGCCCCGTCGTCGTGCTCCTGGAGATGCAGCCCCTCCTTACGGTGAGAACCACCTCGCCTTTCTCGACCCAACTTTCCCGTGTTCACGGTAGGGTTAAGATTGCTTTCGCCTTCTGTTAAAAGCCTGCAATTTCTAAGTTTTTGGTGTGCGCTGATGTTTGGTAGATGATTATGAGTTAAAACCCCTATGCGCAATGACTCACAGGCTTTTCAAACTAGGGTTTATATGAGAGGGTTTGGTCGGGTTAGAAGGGTCTTTATTTGGCTAATTTTGGTGACGAAGAAGAATCTGAAGTGAGGGCATATAAACATTACTTAAGATTTGCTTGTGTTAGAACGATTAGGTTATCTGAAAAAGAAAGTACGTTTGCTGAAATTTTGGACAGTGGGTTCTCTGAATATTTCGACAGTAGCTTTATCTGAATCTTTCTATAGTACCTTAACTGAACATGTGGATAGTAGTTGAACTGAATTTTTGAACAAATGCAGGTCAGCAATGCTACATACTGTTGGAAATAGAACTATAGAATTAATGTAGTAGGAGAACAACATTGCTGGCAAGTACCCAAACAACATTGATGCATTTTTTGAACTCCACTCAAACTGAATTTAGTTTGAGTGAACTATTTGTACTGTATTATGAAGTGCTGCATACTGTTGAAAATGTATTGTTGTTAACTAAAATTATCTTACAGCTCCTCAACTGAATTTTAATTTCAGATGCTTTTGATGGTCTTTTCTCGGTTGAGATACATCACAAAGGTTTCTTTTGTGGAACTGACAACAACAACACCTACATGGATTATGAAGTTGCATGGTTTGACAACTGTGATAGTGATACATGGTCCTTGTTATGGATTGATGACTTTTTGCAGCAGCTAGGTTATGACAGAGATTGTTTGAAGCTTGATGTGTACTGGTGTCAGCCTGGAAAGACATTGGTTGATGGGCTAAGAAATTTGACATGTGATGCAAATATCCTTGCAATGATAACAACAACTACAGAGCACAAGAACTTGTTACTGATTGTAGACCATGGAGAGAGATTTGACAGTGCTCTCAGAGATGATATTTTACTTGATGGAGTTCCTGTACTTTCAAAGGTCATTACTCCAGGAAAAGAAAGCAAGGGAAAAGAGCAATATAGCTGTCCCGAGGAGAGAAGTGTGCCAAATAAGAGGAGGTCTAGGAGGTTTTTTGGGGAAGGTTCATCCTCAGGTTGTGCTGATGAAGAATTGGAGGAAGAAGATGGAGTAAATGCAGCTGAATTAGAGACAGATGAGGATTTCTATGATAGTGACTATGACATAGAAGATGGGGATGACGATCATGACAACTGCTATGTCAAGTGGAAGAGGTAGGAGGAGGGGTGTTACTGAAGATATTCTAGAGGATGTGCCTCAATCCAGCCACCAAACAAGTGATAATACAAAGAGGCAGGAAGAGGCAAGCTAGAGGAGGTGGTAGAGGAAATGCTACAGGAGGTGGGAGGGGAAATGCTACAAGAGGTGTAATTTTTGTTGAAATCTACAAGTCAGCAAGAATGAAATTGTTGTCATTTGTTATCAGTTCTAATTTTCTCAATTGTCATGCTTGCAGGAAATGGAAGGACAAGAGGAGGAGGTGCAAGAGGAAATGGTGGAAGAGGAACTCTATATGACAATGGAGGAAGGACTGGACCAGGGGCTGGATTCTGGAACTTGATGTTTGGACCTGATTCAGATAGGTCACATGTGGCAGCAGAGGAAGAGCCAATCACACAAAATGCACCAAGAGGGGATGAGTGGGATGATGACTTCATGCACATGTAGATGCCCATCATGGATGCAGAAGTTCATGACTGAACTTTATGGAATGCAACTAAGTTCACCAATGAACTTGGTCTATTTGTTTAGAGGCCTATTTTGATGTAATGAACATGTCAGTTTACACGTACTGCACTTAAGTATGTTGGCATGCGGCACTTTCAGTATGTTTTATAGCTCCAGTGTTATGTTCATGTACTGTCAAATTCTAGTCTTGAAGTGTTATCTGAATCTGCTGTCATTCTTGCTGTTAAAATTCTTTCTTGCCGTTAAAATTCAGTGTAACTGTGTTACTGATGATTAGTTTCTCATGCTGTCAGAATTTATAAGTTTATGTGTTATTGGAGAACAGTTTATGATGCTGTTAAATTCCAGTGATTATATTGTTCACATTGAACATGTTGCAAAAAATATCCAGTTCTTCCGATGCTGTCAAATTCCAGTGATTATATTGTTCACAAACTGAACATGTTACAAAAAATTCCAAAAAAGGGTGTCATAGGATTCGAACCCAGGACCTGGGTGTGCAAGTCTTGTGCTAGTAGCTAGTGGGACAGTCAGAGACAACTGATGATTTAGCCTTCTACTATGTACTTAACACTATATTCAGTATCCAGTGCGGTCGACCCTGTCCCGCCGAGCCAGGGGCTTTTCCGTGAGAAATGTTAAAGAGAGGGTGTTTTCTGGAAAAAAGACAACGGGCACGCCTCTTCAGTGGCTAACAAGGGGCCCCACGCCACGCTGTCAAGCCCAGTCAGCAGCGAATCCGTAGACAAACGTCCTTGGCACCGTATTTGAACCAAATTGCCAAGTTTTAGCACTCATTACGTGTATTTTACAAGTTGAGGCACCAAACTGAACATCCAGGGCAAGTTTAGGCGCCACCAGTGATATTACCTCATAGATAATACAGTTCATATTAGGAGTGGCTTCTCGACATTGCTCTTGTTCAAGGTATGCACGAATTGCACAAATGAGACATCGTACATGCCAACATTGTACTCCTGAACAAGTGTCTCAACCACATCCAACTCTTGCCAAGAAAGCGTCATGCGTGCAGTGACATGCCTCGTGTCCACAATTCTATGAGTTTCGAAGGACCCCATGAAGTAAGTTGTCCAAATTACATGTAATCAAGGGTCTTGTTACAATAGGTAATATAATACAAAGGTTGCTCATTCAATCTATTTATGGTCATGAAAACTTACACGGGGTATCACTGGATCGTTGGGCAAGCGTACCATGATGTCAAGTTCGGGGTGGTGGAGAATGTGTATCTCGATGCTCGTCCCCGCATCAAGCATCTATGTGTGGCAAATCCTCCCAAACCGGGGCAATAGAAAATAAGGTTTGATCTTCATTCTTGATCATAACCCGTAAGTTCAATCCATTTTTCATTCCAAGATGACCCTCAACCATCATATATTGACGAATTAGAACCTGCGACATTCAGAATTTCACGACTTGCAAAACAAGGGATGATCTAAACAAAGTTAAAGAGGAATAAAATTAGATCATAGTTTGTTGGCCGTATCTATGCAGGCAAAGGCTTATGAAATCATCAATTCTTACAAAACATAATTTCTTTTGCCTGAAATACTCTCCAAGCACAAGAAAGAATTGATTGTTCTTCATCCAAGTTTGCCCGAGTTCAACATATGCATCTTCCCCGTCTGTGGCCACACGTCGGGCACACTAGGTTCAATGGCCGAGCTAGAAAACCCGCTTGAAAAAACCGAAGTTTTTTTGAGACAATGAAGAAAAAACCCGAAGTAAACCGCCCCCTCGCGGCTCCTAGGCCAGCCCACTACAGGCCCGCGTGCCGCGTTTCCTTTTTTTGTTTGCGGGGTCGCGTGCTGCGTTTCCTTTTTTTTGTTTGCGGGGTCGCGTGCTGCGTTTCCGATCCCCTTCCTCCTCTCCCTTCGTTTTCTGCTCCTCCCCCGCAACAAATCTTGTCGCTTCGCCGCCGGCACAAGCGATCGGAGCAGCGGCCCGTCGGCAGCGATGGGGGACCACGAGGCGCGCGGTGACGACACGGAGAGGAAGGCGGATAAGAAGCTCTCCGGCTGGGGGCTCTTCGGCTCCAAGTACGAGGACGCCGCCGACCTATACGATAAGGCCGCCAACTTTTTCAAGCTTTCGAAGAACTGTGAGTTCACGACGCCTCCGTTCTTTCCCATTCCTACCGCGCCGTCCCCGATCGGCGGATTCTTTTGCCCCCAATTTCACTACGCTCTCTTCCCTCTACACGGGCAAGATCTGCCGGTCGATCTGGGCAGGATCCTGGCCGGCGACCCGCTGGGGTTAAAATGAGTTTTTTGGGCTGTGGATCTATTATTGTGCCGCGTAATCTGGTGTTATTGTTAGTCAGTGAACCGTGTTTAGATTATTGACGCCCAATTCTCTTGTGCCGATCTCGAGTTTGAGGGGAGGGAGCTGTTTGATAGTTTCGCTTGAGGAGGCTACGGAATTGATTGTGCGGTGCGGTTTGGTTTGATTTCCAACTCTTTTTATAAGGTTCCATGAGCGGGATCTGGTGGACTTATCCCACATGTATATACATATGTTGGCGCTCTCTTTCTAGTTCAGGTCAGGTTCTTAGTTGTCTACTTTTACTAGCTAAATACCGTGCGTTGCTGCGGGATGAAACAATATCGAAGAGTGGTGGCGTGTGAAAGATTGTCCTTGGCCATGGTGGCTGTGACGATGTTGGTGACTGCCAGCTCCTGCCCGGAGAAGGGTGGCGAGATGAGAGGTGAGGTTGGGTTTTAGATCCGATCCTGGGGTTGTCGCTCGAACCAACCACCCAGGTCTCCTTGTGCTCTGTCACACGCCAACAGCGGAAGGGGACGCTAGTGTGTCATGCCGCCTGCTGATTGATGGGTAATAAGCGTTGTTGCGCGACCTAGCACGGCCGCCTGTGCAGGCAGCCGGGGCGCCAGACAGTGTCATCGTGGGGGAGCCACCTTTGTTTCCGTGGTCGATGAGGCACCTGTGTCTGTGGTTGATGAGCAATTAGTGCATAGCCGTCGGAGCCGACCATAGAGTAGTAGAGGGAGATGTGGTGGTGGCGTAGAAGCCCTAGCGTAGAAACACTTGCTGCTGCCTGATCTATTGATTATTTAGATGGAAAGCCTAATTCTGTTATACGTAGACAAATCGGTTGGCATACTTTGGTGCGTGAGAAAAACAACAATGGGTGAAGTTATTCCCTCCTTTCGGGATTATAGGGTCGGCGAGCCATGAAGCAGCTCCCCTTTTTATTACTCCCTCCGATCCATAATAAGTGTCGCAACCTTAGTTTAAAACTGCGACACTTATTATGGGTCGAAGGGACCTTAGTTTAAAACTGCGACATTTATTATGGATCAGAGGGAGTTAGACTGCTGGAAAAAACCCCTATTTAAGCAGACCTATTAATTAATGGCTCGGTTTCCAAATAGATTCGTCGCAAAACATCTTAAACGGACCTAATTAACTGTACATCTAATTAACTGTCTAGCTGATAAATTGCATTAATGGCTTGTTTTCAAAATTGATTCGGCGTTCAGTTTCCAGATTGTTTTCGCATTAATGACTGCAGGGGACGAAATAAACGACGTACAAACTCCCCTTAAATAGTAGAGATTCCGACTAGGGTTGCAAGTTCTGTTGTCTTGTGTCTATATAGGTCTGGTTGGCTTCAACTTTAAGTTGTGTCATTGGAAGCATTGGGGCTTAGTTACCGGATTCCGGGGAATGGGTTTTGAATCCAGATCGGGGTTTGAGACCCCTCCGGTTTGCATCCGATTTGCCCTTGAAGTGTCGATTCATACCATGATTTGTCAATCAGAAAAGTTGAATCCCAGACGCCAACTAAACAGTTTCCAAGTGTATCTCTGAAGCTCAGCCCTTTGCTTGGCCCAATGTACTGCCGTGCTTCGCTGTGGTCACCCAGCTGCAGGCGCCTTCAGGGAGAAAAGAATAGGCGATTTGCTGGGAGGAGCTGAGGGGCAACCCAAGCCCGTCCCCGCGGGTAAACCTGCACCAGCACTAGCAGCACACTACACAATATCAATTTAGACTTTGGACTAGGCTAGGTTAGGTTTTTTGGGGGCCTTTGGGCTCGGTTGCTAGGGGTTCAGGTGTTTATTGGGCATGCCTGCTCGGGCAGCTGGAAATTTCCAGTTAGATGGGCAGGAGCTAGGGTTTAAGGTGCCCAGTAGTCAGATTTAGACGGGTAAGGCGGGTAACACTGTCCCATCCCCGTCCATGTCCCATCTGCTGGGTAATACATTTGGCCCATCCCTGTCTCGTAATAGAGAGGCTGTTTGGATTGACGCCCGAGGCTGGCAAGCCAAAATATCGGCGTTGACCGGGCACATGGGTGTCGTTTGGATCGAAACCAATTCTTTGGCGTGCCCTGACTACCTTCAGCTTTCTAGTTCATTTTTTTGCCAACTATCGGTCAGGGCATGGGCGGCAAAAAGCAGCGCCAATATTTTGGCTCGCCTATGCATTGGCGGGGTCAGCGTGGGCGATATCCAAACAGCCCCAGAGTAATTACCCGAGGGGACACAGGTAACGGGTAGTTGCAGTAAAGCATGGATGCGGTGGTAGGTTGCAGTCAAGCATGGATGCGGTGGTAGGTTGCAGTCAAGCATGGATGTGGTGGTAAGTTGCAACTCTACATATGTTGAGTAGCAGCGGCTGGAGTAAGCAGGATGTGAGGCAGCTGGATGAGAGTCACGATTAGGCCCTAAGGTTGTTGGTGGGCTAGAATATTCTCTGCTATTTCCTGAGTATTATACTCCACTGAAAAGAGTATTTATGTATCGATATGCATACTGGTGGCGAATATCGAATCGAATATAGTGGGTTTGCGAACCTTAGCTCTGATTCGCGAAACAGAGATGTATACCCCCTAGCGAACCAGATTTGTATGAGGTAGTAACTTGCAAACCATGAACCCAGCGAATCACTAATTGAGTAACTATCCTATATATTGGAGTATGACTACTGCCCTTGTTCTGCATTTCCGAGTTTGTTTAATGGCTTAGTGTCTAAGCACTCATCCCTTTATTCTATCGATGTTGCTACCAACTTGGTTTGCAGGGAACAGAGCTGCATCTGTGTATATCAAGATTGCTAATTGCCATCTGAAGGTTGGTTTGGTTATCTGAGTTATCAGTTTTGTCATCTTGATCAATGGTGCAATTTCAGTGAGATGTTTATGTTGCTTATTGCCATGCTTGACAGGGTGATAGTAAGCATGAAGCTGCCTCAGCTTATGTGGAAGCCGCAAACTGCTACAAAAAATTCTCACCTCAGGGTATTTCTTTCTACAATTTACCGCACATGATACATATCCTTCGCCTTTAAACATTCTTCGATTCTGTACTTTTTTTCCTTACCTCATGTCATCAGAACCAGCGTGATCCAATTTTGCTGCACTTCTTCTGATTTAATAACAACTCTCTTCCATTAAACTGGATCAGCTTTGGACCAGTTATTTATACTTCTACCAGTTACCACCATTCTCAAAGCCATTGAAAGGAAGTTCTATCTAACCTCAGTCAACTTGATTAACTACAAAAATAAACAAGGGAATGAATCGTGCCAACTGCTAAGGACATAAAGTACTTAGTGATTTTATGCAAACTTAGCTGTTTATCCAGTCCCAGTCATTGTCCTAATTGTATTTGACGATATCGTGGTATCAGCTGGCTGCTGATACTGTGTATAGACCGATATACCAGTAGTATCGACCGATATCCCAGTCACATCCTTTTTTGGGTGGCCTGACTGATATGCGTCTGATATATGATATTTTGAACTTCTCCCAATGAATTTATAATTCATCAAAGCAAATGTTTGTTAGAAGGAGTACAGTCTTTGAGAGCTTTGTAGTATTGAACATAACTTATCATCGGTGTGCTGAACTGTGTAATTTGGAGTTAGGGAAATCTTACTAGTTTTAGTAGAAAAAAGTTTTACACCTCATGAAAAGGTACGACCATCCTAAGGAGCTTCCAACTAACCAAGCCACTGGTATACCAAACCGAGCCAAAGTATTGCATCTCTAAGATTGGAATCTTGAAAACATTTGAAACTAGGGAAATATAAATTTCATTTTTGTTGCATATATCATTCATTATGTGTGCTGTTTAATGTTCCCTGTAACTTCTTTTATTCTTATTCCATCTTTCTCATTTAGCTTCTACAAATGTTTCCATTTTATGCAGAAGCTGCGCAAGCGCTAGACCAGGCTGTTAATCTTTTTCTGGAAATTGGTAGATTGAGCATGGCTGCAAGATACTGCAAGGTAAATCCTTCCTTTCAATCAATCTTTATCATTGCATGAAGACTTATTTCAGCAGGAGAGAGATCTCATTTTTGTGCATTTTCAGGACATTGGTGAGATTTATCAGCAAGAGCAAGATTTGGAGAAGGCTTCAGATTACCTAGAAAGGGCCGCTGATCTTTTCGACAGTGAAGGACAGACATCTCAATCAAACACCATTAAGCAGAAAGTTGCAGAAATTGCTGCGCAGTTGGAACAGTAAGACTACTTTCATGTGCTGTTAGCTTGATACAAGTCAGAACCTGGAACAATTGGTTTCAGAGTTCAAGGTCAGCTTCTGCGATAGTCTTGCAGATTTGCCCAGAAATTTATGCTTCTTGAATTAGCATACTTCTCAAATTTATGCTTCATGAGCATGTCTTTTTTGTTCTAGCCTTCTAGGTTGTGGGTATTAATCTATCTGGTATCCTCATTTGTTCACTTCTGTTATGATACTCTGGGGTGCCTATATATATATTTTACGTCCCGCAAATTTGTTCTTACACTGGAAGTCAAAGGAGAATGTAAGAAAATGTATATCTTGATGAATAGCATTACTATATGTCTTTGCCACCTGGGGCCTATACCACCCCTCCAGCTTCCGTTTGATCATGTTTTGAGATCCGTGTAGCATCTTTTAGGTTTGCCATTGATTAATTTTTCGTTTTTCTAATTGCACCAAGATGAGTTCATTCACTGAGTAGTAACAAAATGCAATGTTGATTATGTGTATACGCATCGATCCATTTTGGGGGGATCTTATTTGAGTTCATGGGGATTTTTTTTAGGGAATCTAAGTCTTACTCATGAACCAACTTTTTTGTATTATTATAGAAACTTATGAAGTTATATCATTTTTGTACATCTGTGTTGAGTTTAATTAGATGGTTTAAGTATTAATGATTTTGAGATTTTGATACCAATAGTCTGACACATGCTCTGCTTGAATATATTAGTGTGATCATTAGCATGCTTCATTAATTGAATCCCGATAGAGAAAAGACGATAGCATAGTGGTCGCACAGATCACGAGGCATGCATTTAACGGAGATAAAATGGGGTGGCACGTTGATATATATATGCGTGTGGAAGTTAGCTATCCACGTGCCAGAACCATGAGTTGGTTTTGAGATCTTATGGGTTTCAGCTCTAGCCTAACCCAGCTTGTTTGGGACTAAAGTATCCAACAAATATTTGTAGATGTAAATATATTACTAGTGTTTTTTTTTTTCAAACGACAGCTTCAATAGAGACCCGAGTGAGTACTCCCTCCGTCCGGTAAAAAATGTACGTTTGGCTTCAATATTTGTCCACAAAAGAGTGTACTTCTATTTTCCCAATGCACTTTAAAGTAGAAAAAATACCTCTCTCATCACACGGTAATCAAGACCAACAACAATCTACGCATGGTCTTCTTAATTTCTACATGCACTTAGCTCATTGGGGGTTGAGTAATTAAAGAGGAGAGAGATGGTGGCTTGCACCTTTCCAATGCATTTTTTGCTTCACTCCATAATTTGTCCTAAAATCTCTAGATGTACACTCTTCACCGGACAGAGGGAGTATGTATTTAACTCGCACTGTGTCACTACAACATTCAATGCTATCTCTCATGCCAATTTCTATGTTTTAGGTACCCAAAGGCAACTGAGATTTTTGAAGAAATTGCTCGTCAATCAATTAACAACAATCTGCTGAAGTATAGTGTCAGAGGCATCCTCCTTAATGCAGGGATCTGCCAACTATGTAGAGCTGATGCTGTTGCTATACAAAATTCATTGGAGAGATACCAGGTGTATATTGCTCTGTTGAAATCTCAACCAGTTATTTTCTGCCATTGCTTTATTTCTAAAGTTGTCTTACCATTTGCAGGAAATCGACCCGACTTTCTCAGGAACTCGTGAATACAAACTTTTAGCTGTATGATACACCATTTATTTGCCTTTCCGTTGCAACACTTGCCCCTTTTGATCATTGCATTTCCTTGCTTTAATAGTAAAAATTGTATCCATTGGTTATCATGAAGTATAGTGATAGTTATCTAGGATTTTGGGTTTTTATTGTAGGATCTTGCTGCATCAATGGATGACGGAGATGTTGCCAAATTTACTGATGCCATCAAGGAATTTGACGGCATGACACGCCTGGTATGTTGTAGTGTACTCTGGTTTTTAGTCTTACCCATTGGTGTGTCATTTATATGGCAAAGGCATGCTGCAAGTTGATAAAAATAAACAACTCATATGCCATTCATTCGACTGAAACTACAACTTATATCTTGGTAAGGTGTGTGGTTGTGTATATTTGGAGTGACTGCATTTGTTGTTCAGGATCCTTGGAAAACGACACTGCTGCTGAGGGCAAAGAATGAGCTGAAGAAGCAAGAGGACGATGAGGATGATCTAACCTAAGCCTTATTGTAAAAATTCTTTCATGCTTCAACATGGTGTGATTTATGCCTCTATTTCGTCTTGGAGGTACATATAATGGGCATAATGAAGATCCACCTTTTGGTTGTATAGAACTTCATTTTGAAGTACCATATCAGGTGTCGTGTGTCATTTGTTCTTGTCATGACTTGGTTTTCCGTCCGAATGAAAATACCATAGCACGCTGTTGCTGCTATCCTTCTGTAACATGTTCTATTTCGCCCTCATTAATGACTTTGCTATTTTCCAATGATTGCTGTCTGTGGAACGCACATGCATCTCTGACACTAGGAATGTAAACGGCATCTACCAAAAACGTAAACTGTTTGGTTAGTCGAGTGTAATGTTACTGTTATGACTGGCATATTAGGGGTTTAGCCCAGTGAGTTGTGGCCAAGTTATCTTGTGGAATTCTTCTGGCCTGGGACGAGGCAGTAACAAGGCTATCCAATCCACACTATCAAAACAACTCGCTCACGGCGCTTGTAAAGTCGTCGGGGGCCGTACACTATCAAAACAACTCGCTCACGGCGCTTGTAAAGTCGTCGGGGGCCGTGGAGTGGTGGATGACGTGTGTATGGTCCGCATGAGGATGTGGCCAAAGTGAAGTTCTTGCAAGAGCTTGCAGACATCATGGAGTTGCACGCAGGGCCGTGGCTGATAGCAGGAGACTTTAACTTAATTGCGAAGCAGGAGGACAAGAGCAATGACTTAATTAAGAGAAGAATGTTAGCAAGGTTTCGGGCGAGGCTGAATAGACTTAAAATGAAGGAGTTGTACCTCAATGGGCGCCGGTACACATGGTTGAATGAAAGGCAGGATGCAACCCTTGAGAAGATTGACCATGTTTTTGTCTCTAATGATTGGGATGCTGCGTTCCCGGCTTATTTCTTATCTGCCCTTGGGACGGTGATCTCGGATCATTGCCCTTTAATGCTAGACATGAATGTGGAGATTGGGATGCATAAACGCTTCAAGTTTGAGGCATTCTGGGTCAAGGCGCCAGGTTTTATGGAGACAGTGCAGAGATCTTGGGACTCAACGCCAGCAGCGTCCAATGACTATGTTACGCTGCACAATAAATTGAGGGCCACAGCAAAAGCCTTACAAAGTTGGAGTGATCGTTGGATTGGCAATGTCAAGTTGCAGATTGCCATTGCCATGGAAGTGATTTTGAGGCTGGATGTGGCAATGGACTCTAGGGCTCTTTCGGACATGGAAAGGGAGATGAGGAAGACGTTGAAACAAAAACTTCTGGGGCTATGTTCTTTGGAACGATCAATTGCAAGACAAAGGTCGAGATTGTTACACCTAAAGGAGGGGGATGGAAACACAAGACTTTTTGATAACAGGCGAGCCATAGGCAGAGGAAAAATGTGATACGATCGGTTAGATACAATGGGAGGCTGTATACGGGACATGAGGAGGTTGCCTCTGCGGTGGATGCGTATTATGGACAGGCTTTCGGCTATTGGGAACAGCGGGAGCACACCCTAAATCTGGATCAGCTGGATCTTCCACGTCGGGACTTGTCGCACTTGGAGGAGCCATTCACGTTAGAAGAGGTGGAGAACGTGGTAAAGGCCATGCCCTTGGACAAGGCACCAGGGCCGGATGGCTTTACGGGGAGGTTTTACGCTGTGTGCTGGCACATTATCAAAGTGGATTTCATGAAAGCCATGGACTGCGTGTACCGTGAGGATATGAGGGGAATGGCTGCAATCACTAAATCCCTTGTGCCTCTCCTGCCGAAGAAGGAAGGTGCGTTGGAGGTGGGAGATTTCAGGCCGATAAATCTTGTGCATGGTGCTATCAAAATCTTTGAAAAGGTTCTCTCGACTAGGCTTGCGGTGGATCTTCCGAACCTGGTGGGAAACCATCAAAGCGCGTTCGTGAAGGGAAGGTCGCTGCATGATAATTTCATGCTCGTTTAGTGTATGGCATGATGGCTGCATGCGTTGAGGAGTCCTGCGGTGCTGCTCAAGTTGGACATATCTAAGGCTTTTGATTCGGTGCAATGGCCTTTTCTATTGGAAGTAATGCAGCAACTTGGTTTCGGCCCCATGTGGAGAGCGTGGATATGTGGAATCTTAGCCACATCAACTACCAAAGTAATGGTGAATGGTGAACCAGGGGAAACTACCTACAACTGTAAGGGGATGAGGCAAGGCGATTCCCTCTCTCCTATGCTGTTCATCCTCACTATGGAGCCACTTCAGAGGTTGTTCGAGGTAGCTATGCACCGAAGGGTGTTGGAACCATTGGCTGCGAGGGGCATGAAGCAAAGGCTGTCGATATATGCGGACGATGTGGTCTTGTTCGTAAAGCCACGGCTGGTGGATTTGGAAGCTTGTAGGGCAATCTTGGCCTTGTTTGGGGAAGCCTCTGGTCTGCGAATTAACATGACAAAATCTGCAGCCCTGCCGATTAGGTGTACGGAGGAGGAGATTGCTTTGGCCGCGAATGAGCTGGAATGCCCGGTTGGGGCCTTCCCAATCAAGTATCTGGGATTGCCTCTTGCTCTAAGGAAACAATCCGCTGCACAGCTACAGTACCTGGTGGACAACATGGCGAGCCGCTTGCTTAAGTGGAAGGCCGCGCTAATGCCGCAAAGTGTGGAAGGCTGACGCTTGTCTTGTCAGTGTTGTGTGCCATGCCGATACATGCGATGATGGCTCTGGAGCTGCCAATGAAAACGATTATGGCGATGAACAAAGCGTGCAGAGGGTTCTTATGGTGTAACAAGGAAAAGGCCAACGGGGGCAATTGTGTCGTTGCATGGGAGACTGTGTGTGCGCCCAAGTGGGCGGGTGGCCTTGGTATCCCCAATTTGCGCTGGATGAATTCGGCGATGCAGGTGCGGTGGCCATGGCTATCACGTGCAGATGGGAGCAGACCTTGGAGTGAGTTCAAAATACAAGTGCCGGCCGAGTCCATGCAAGTTTGCCAAGCTGCTTTGAGGGTCAACATCAGGAATGGAGAATCCACCCTGTTCTGGGAAGATAGGTGGCTAGATGGATTGAAGATGCAGGAAATGGCTCCAGACTTGTACAGGAGGATTCCGAAGAGAGTTCGTCGGGCTAGGATGGTTGGGCAAGTGGCAGCCAATGGGCGGTGGGCGATGGACATCGACCCGGATTTAGATGCAGCATCGCTGCAGCAGTTCCTCCAGATTTGGCCGAGGGTCGCGGCATGGGAGCCTTTGCCAGGCGAGTAGGATGAGTTCACTTGGACTTGGGATGCGAGTGGGCAGTTCTCGGTGCGCTCGACGTATGCAGCCAGGTTTTGGGGTCGGGAGGTGGTTCCCACGGCGAAGCTGACTTGGAAGTGCCGGGCACCTTTGCAATGTCGTTTCTTTGCATGGTTGGTCCTGAAAAACAGGTGTTGGACTTCAGATAGACTAGCAAGGAGAGGGCTACCGCACCAATCTGCTTGCTCGTTGTGTGATCAGGAGCCGGAGACGTTAAACCATGTGTTGCTCACATGTGTCTTCGTCAGAACAGTGTGGGCGGTGGTTGGAGAAGCTTTGGGTAAGCTTGCTTGGGAGCCAAGTCATGAGGATGAGCTTGGGGAGTGGTTGTGTGCCAAGAGAGGAGACAACTACCTCGGCACCAAGGACATTCATACTATCTTGCTACTAGTCCTGTGGGAGCTATGGAAGCATCATAATGTAATCGTGTTCGACGGCGCATCACCGTCGGTGGAGAGACTCATACACAAGGTAAAATCTGAGTGCGCGTTATGGGAAGATGCGGGCCTGTTCAAAGGGAACCTGGAGGGGTTTCTGGGGGACTACATAGGTGGATGAGTAGGGAGGAGTAGGATATGGGATCGTGTAAGTGGAGCATGTACGGGCTGTAAGGCCATACAGGCTTGTAATGTAACTGTGGAGGCATCTTTGCCCTTCTTCTTTAATATATGATATGCACACTCGTGCATATTCAAGAAAAAAAAGAGGCTTAGCCTAATTATTTTATCATTATGGCTTAGCCCAGTGAGTTGTGGCCCAAGTTATCTTATCATTATTAGAGGCTTAGCCCAATTATTTTATCGTTATTAGGATCATTTGTTTAGGAGTCAAGTAAACCTCTCTATATAAGGAGAGGAGATGTATCAATCTAATCAAGTAAGAAGCAATCAGTATTTGCTCGGCTTCCCTTAGGGAGTCGGGAGACCTAACTCTAGCCGCCTCTTGCGCCGCCGCCGCCTCTTCTCCATCACGCAAGGACGGCGCCCAGCCGCCGGCCGCCGCACCCTTGACCTCGTCTTCCTCCATCTCCCACCTACAATCTCCGCCCTAAAACCAGCAGAACCCTAGCTCCTAACACCTTGGTATCAGGTAGCTCGATTCCGATCATGTCTGCACCACCACCCAACTCGCTGCTGCTCGTCACCACCGCCCCATTGCCCGTCACCACCGCGCCGCTAGCTCTCCCCACCGCGCCGTTGGACTCCACCGGCCAGACGCCGCCGCCCTCCACCGCGCCGCCCGTCGCCATCTACTCGCTGGCGGAGATGACCGGGATCCTCAACGACCTCGTCACTGCCGTCCAGGGCATACGCCTCTACCTGGCCGGGCCCTACGGGCAGCCGCCACCCTTGCAGCCGGTCGCCCTTCCCTGGTACACGACCGCCATGACGCCGATCGGGCCTCTACACCACCATTGGCCCGGTCAGCCGCCGCCCGCCGTTGCCCCCCACTGGCCGCAGTGGCCGGCTTCGGCGATCGCCGCGCCCCTGATGCCTCCCAGGTCCGGGCAGCCGCAGCTCCAGCTGCCGGCCCCACCGCCGCCCGCTGCCGCGCCCCATTGGTCACAGTGGCCAGCCTCGGCCCTCGCTGCGCCCCCACGCCACCCGGGTCCGTACCGCCGCAGCTGCCGGCCCCGCCCCCGCCCAGCACAGGGCCCGGGTCACCCACGCAGGGAGGCGTACTGATCCAGCAAGTACGCTTCTCGCCGTCACCGTCCCCCATACTGGCCTAG